TCCTGGTGCCACGGCTGCACAGCCGCGCTCAGATGCGCGACGCAAGGCCTGGCCGCACGTCCATCTCAACGAAAGAACTCCTGAACGACACTTGCCAAGACGTGCTGGCCGTCCTCCTGGTCCCAGAAATTGTGGTGGCTGGTCATCTCGTATGGCGCGTCAAAGAACAACACAAACTCCGATTGGATGCGCTCCGTCCGCTCCAACAGAAGACGAGAGGACGTGCGATGAGAGCAGGTTACGTGAACCGTGACTCCAACACGACGATCAACGCACGTCCGCCTCCGTCCAGGTCCACCTCGCCCTCCTCATCCACCATCTCGTGGCAACTGTGGTTGATGGCAATCTCCTCCCCGACTTTGATTTTACGTGCTGCCACCGCGTCGAGCACTGTACGTCGTAGTACATATTGGCCTCACATGAACGGTTACACATAATGTCGAAGGCATTACACAGTACGGTCCAGTCGGCGCACATCCCGCTGTGCTCCGAGGGCGTGATAGGCACGGTAAGGCCCTCAGGAGGCAGGCTCGTCCCGAAAAGGTGCATGTCCACATAATCTGCGATCTTCTCGGGGTGCCACGGTCGCGAGGCCAGGGTAATGAAATATACTTTTGGACCGCCTCGCCCTTTCTAAAGTTGGCGTCCGAGTACAAGCCGTAACCACCGTCGCCAGAGTCGAGGGTGTTGTCCCCAACAGGCTCCTTCAGGATCTGAATGCCCGCAGGCATCTGCGCCTTCAAATCGTAGGCGGCGAGGTGGCAATTGTCGTTGGCAGCAGGCATGGGCACCGAGGAATACTTGTTGTCCACCTCGCCATTCGTGGAGTTGGTGTCCGCGTACACGCCGTACCCACCGTCGCCAACGTCGTGGATGTCCACCCGATGGTCCTCGATCATCAGGGGCTCCGGGGGCTCGAAGGACGGTCGCGGGTACAGCGCCAAGATCGGGTACTCCACGAACTTGAGCCTGTAGTCAGTGGCAACGGCCACCGCCTTCGCGAAAAAGACGCGAAAAAGACGAAGATGGGCTCTGGATCCAGACCAGGTGGAGGACCAGCCGCGCCATGGCGAAGGAGACGAAGGCGCCGTCGGTGACGATGGCACTGGGCCCGCGAGCGCCCACCCGCAGGGGCGCCGCAATCAGAGGCCTCCATCCCCAGCTCGTCGCCAGCGCCCCGAGCAGCCAGCGTGCCAGCCTCCCCCTGCGGGGGGGCACCCAGGGCGTCAGCGCGCTCGCAAGGCCACGGCTGCCCCCGTCGCGCGGTCGTGCCGATCGGCAAGGCCACCTCTGGAAGGGGGGCCTGTGCCGCTGCGGCGGCTTGGGAGGAGGAGGAGGAGGAGGAGAAGGATGAGGATGAGGAGGAAGGGGAGGTGGACGAGGAGGGGCCAGTGATGGCGAGGAAGACGAGGAGGACGCGAAGGGAGGAGGCGGCATGTGGAGCAGGAAGTGCACCAGGCAGGCCCAGAAGGACTACGCTCCGACCTGGCGGCGGCGACAGCGGCGCCCTGGCGGCGACGGCGGCATCCTGACGTCGGCGCCCTGACGGCGGCGGCGGCTCCGCCGTGGCGGCGGCGGCGGCTCTGCTCTGGCGGAGACGACGGCGGCGGCTCCGCCACGGCAGCGGCGGCGGCCCCTGGCGGCGGCGGCCGCTCCGCCTGCGAAGGCGCACGGGCCGCTGGCTCCGCGCCGACTCCGCGCCCGACGGGGCGGTAGCCCGCGGAGCCCTGCCGGGTTGCGGCCTGCGCCGGTCGGGGGCGGCGAGCCCCGCTGGGCCCTCCATGGACCGTCATCGTCATGATCGTCGCCTCCGCCATGGGCGTCGCCGGTGCCGACGTCGGCGTCGTCGTCGTCGACGGGGGTGGCGGCGTCGTCGACGCTGGCGTCGTTGTCGCCGCTGCCGCAACCTTCGGCGTCGTTGCCACCGCATGACGTCAGCGTTGTGGTCGGCGCCACCCGCGACCGCCGTGAACGTCAGCGCCTGCGGTGCTGCCATCGCCATTTGTTGTCGTTATCGTTGTAGCTCTCTCGTGGATACCCCAAGCTCGCCTGCTCGTTTTGATCCGGGCGTCAACGCCATCCAAAGGTCGTCTCCGGGCTGCGCCCTCACACCCCCGCGCCGTGGGAAATGGCCCCCGCGCAACGCGGTGCCTGGGTGAAGTGGAAATGTGGATTTCTGATGTCTCGCCTTAGTTCTGGCGGCTCGGACAAGGCATGCGTCTGAGCCCGGCATCGAGGCGGCCCCAAGAGACAATCTGGTGTAGGATGGATGGCGAGAAAATTGCAATCAACAAGAATACTAATGCAACACACCGCAGCGGCGGCAGAGGCGAAACCGATAATGGTGAGTGTCGGCTAATTACCCCACCCCCACTGGACCCACAGAAACTGAAAATGATTGGGTCATTGTTTCGAAAGCCGAGTTTGACATTAGCTCTAGCGCCCAAGGGGTCCCTTGAATGAGCCCTGGGAAAGACCCGACGACACCCCGCGCCCTCCTCCCGCCCTCCCCTGCCCTCCCTGTACCTTCCCTCGCTCCCTCGCTTCCCCCCCCTGCAATTTGTTGGGTTGTCTGCAGGCCCGCCTGTAATGGCGTCCCGAAAATGCTGGCCAACGCGATATAGTTAGTATGGCGCCGCGCGGGTGGGGTATAATGATGCAACGAAAAAGGTCTGATTATATACCCCACGTGCGAATATACCCCACCCGCGGAAGGATAAGTTCGAAGGCGGCGCGGACGCTGGAGGTCCGTCGTGGACTGCTCCGCCTGGAGAGCCCAGGTACTCCTAATTTTGCAGGAAAGACTGAGAAGAACGAAATACTGGTCCACGTTTTACGCGATGCACTTGTCATGCGACGCGCGGGGGCAAATTAACGCATTTCGCTCTGCAAAGGCACAAGGGACCGAAATACGACTTGCACAATCATAAAATCCACCCCGAACGCGTACATGCCTGGGGGTGGGTATCTTGGACCCGGAAATGGTGATGCGGTAACCGCGCGCCGCGAGCCGACGCCACGCAATGCGAGCCACTGGTGCGCACGGGCACGAGAAACTCGTGCCTTTGTCTGCCCAGGTCACGAATGTCCTTGTCTCCTTGCGCATTTTTTGCAGAGCCTGCCTTCCTTGGCCGAGTCTGGTTACAACCCGTGGTTTTCCAGGCATGCAAGCGTGATCCCGTTATCTTCGGCAATATTCTTCGTAGCATCATCCAATGTATCACTTGAGGAGTTGAGGTGGTCGTCTACGTGGAGACCACCCATCTCCCGATCCCGGTCGTGATGACATCGACATAGATCTGCCAGACATCACAGACCACAGACCAACCAATCTCACCCAATGCATGTAAAGAACATTCGGTCTGCCGCGCTTCGAACACAATCTCTAAGTACATGTACCGTGGGTCAACCACCACGGCGTGCACGGACCACCTCTGAAGAGGATCGCGATCGCTCCGCTTGCTCTTCGCGTGTCTTCTTCCCACTCCCGTGTAATCCTCGGCCTCAAGAATGAGATCATATGACCGGCCATTCCCAAGTCAGATGTCCCGCTATGCAGCTTGAAAACACCTGGGCTCGGCCAGACATTCGCCCCGGTGAGCGGCGAGTGCCGCAGGAGCGAGCCTCGGTGACCACTTCTGCCCCGAGCTGACCCCAACAGCCGGCGCAAGCGGCCCGTGGCACCCTGCCAGCACAATCGCGCGAGCGGCGGCGCTCCACACACCACAGGCGCGAAGCTCAAAAGAGAGGGGGGCTGGGATTTGGAGAGGGTGCAGAAAGGAAACATATCTGGGAATAGATGGGAGGTAATAGGTGGGAGAGAAGAACAGGGTGGAGGAGGGGGAAGCAGATGGAGACCGCCTCCACTCGTGGTCTTGAGAAGCTGGATACATCGGAAAACGGCGCCCAGTCGAAAAGAGAGGGGTCTGAATGCTGGCGAGACCTCAGGAGTGCCGCCCGAAAACCGAAAGGTGCAAGGGGTATTCACAGGAAGGCGCGGTAAGGATGCAAGGCCCTTGGACACCCAAGGTGAAGCATATTTGGGGGTGCTGGTCAGCGGAACAGGCCAAGGATAGCCGAGGGGCAAGGATGCCAGGGCACCCTTGGCAAGCTACTCATCCTCACGATGTGGTCTGACTGCGGGAGCAGGGAGAAGAGCGAGGGAAGGATGAGGGAGGAGGCCTTCAGGAATTCTTGGGGGAATGCTCAATCATAAACGCCCACATAAGCAGAGCTATGCTTTCGAAGGTCCGCGCGAATCTATTGGATCTGCGTTGACCCTAACCTGGCAGCGCTTTTGGCGCCACCCCTGGAGCGCTCCGCGCGCCAGGGAGTGGGAACCAGCGCACATCCAAGAAATCGGACCTTCGAACGTTGATGCTTACGCCATGTGTTTTTATTAATTCAAGAGTTGGGGAAGCGACGCGGATGGTGGGCGCACTCATGAATTTCTGGCTCCCCGCGAGGTGCAGACACTTCGCGCCACCCGTGGAACCGGCATGATGGACTATCCGGATGCCCTGGGTATGACGGCGCGCCACTCTCTCCGAGCGGACTGGGGCCACTTGGAAACGACTCGGGGTCGAGGAGACGGGGCGCAAGATCGTGGTCGCTCTACTCGGCTTGAGCCCGACTGCTCCTCCGACGATTACTCGCAGTCAGAACCAACTTTGGAGCAGAACGACCTGGGACGTCCCCGCACATCTTATCCGCCAGCGCTGGACGCCTCACCCACCACCCCAGCTCGGCGCCTCCGACGCGATCCGCGCGCCGGGGAGGTGTGGCCACCGCCGGCGGAGAGATCGCCCGCGAACGCCCCAAGTTTACGTGCGTGCGGTCGTCTGCTTCTCTGCGCAGCCGCCCCTGACCCGCCGAGCCAGGCGGCCTCTCGCTTGAGGTCGGTCACCCATATGCCGTACTGCGACCCCTCGGTGCTTATGGCGAGCAGCTTCTCCTGCTGAGGGAGCAGGAAGAGCAGGAAGAGGGAGTCCTCCCTCTCGTGATCGTCGCCCTCCCCCCCCCCTGCGAGCTCGCTTGTCCTGTGCCAAGACGCCGCCACCGCGACGACGACGCCAACGTCAACGACGACGACGACGAGACTGGCCATGCCAACGGCCACGACGACGATCATGACGACGACGACGACAACCACGACTACGACGACAGCGACGACGACACGCGCCGTCCTCTGGGAGGCACAACCTGCAGTCCTGCAAATTCCTCCAGTCCGCCGGCACCTCGTCCTCTTCGGGCGCGCGCGGCGGCGGGTGGTCCGCGGCTGGGAGCACAGCCCCTCTTGCAAATCAGATCGGGGGCGTCTTGAGCACAGCGCCCCGACCTTACTTCCAAGGGTCGCGAGCCTGTGCGGCCCCCCCCCCCCGAACGTGTTGCAGCCTGGATTCGGTTGGGCGGCGCGCTGCCCCACCGATGTCGGGTGCTCCGAAGCAGGGGTCCTGGAAGAGGGGGGGCTAGCTAAGCGCATCATAGTCCGAGGTATGTGCGCGGACGAGGTGGGGGGGCCAGGGAACAGATCGAAAGGAGAAGAAGAAGAAGAAGAAGAAGAAGAAGAAGAAGAAGAAGAGGGCACCATGAATTCTGGGAGATCTTGTGGCCCTGGCCATGATACTCAACCCCATCTGGTCCTCACCCCCATCATCTTGGGGCAGAGAGGATAATCAAACACATCTTAGTCAGCGTGGACCCAGAACGGTGCGCTGTTGCACTGTGGAGGCGAAGCTACGCGGTGTAAGCTACGCAGCCTCAGCATAGTCCAGTGAACGACGCCCACGAGCCGCCCACACGGCGGCACGGGCGGCATCGTGGCGCAATCTCAGCATACTCCCCAAGCGC